CCAGTGTGTGAAATGGGACTATTGTTAGTAGTTACAGAATTCAAGTAAGTTCATATATGTGTAGACTCATTCCTGGACCAGAGTAAGCAATATATAAGCTTTGGCTTCTCCTTTTAGTTTATGGCTATATACTCTGTGTGCATCACTGTATACCCCATGAATATATACAATTATGATTTGCTAATTAAAATTAAAGAAAATTAAATTGAACGTCTGTTACAAAGTCAGGAATGAAACTCAGAAATGCAAGAGCAGTTTCTCTTCCCATCATCACTATACTACAATAAAATTAACATTGTTAATGTCTGTGATGGGTAAAGTTTTGGTGAATTTCAAGAAACTTGTCTACTTAAGCGAAAGAGTAATCTATTGGGAGAGTGCAACAGGATACAGAAGAGAGGCAATCCCTAATTCCATATAGCTCCACTGGCCTTCTTTATCCAATGAAGCCCTTTTTTGGAGTTCATTGGCCTTGCTCATGACACAGTGGCCTCCCACCTACTTTTCCAACTCTCTCCTGCTTTCTCACAGCCAAGTCTATGAAGTCTGCAGTTACAAGCAGAGTCCTTGAGAGGGCACCTCTCTCTGACTGGAGAGGTGAGGCCTGCTGTCCACCTACTGCTTGGTGTCTGACCAGGGCAAGAAGCCTAGGCACCAGCGTGTGAGAGCCCTGGAGGTGCAATGAGCTATAGTCACTAGCTCTACTCTGACTGAGTTTACTACAGAGCCTACCAGGCCTCGGTGGGTGGCATAGCCAGAACAATGGGAGCTCTCTGGATCCCTATAGCTGGGCAGGTACAGGGTAAAAAGCCCAGGCAAAAACAGTGTCTATGATATGGGGCTTTTAGCATCTGACGAGCATGAATACCAGTCAGTTATTGTAGGCCCTAGGGTTTCCCAAAAAGAGGTGGGTCTACAGAATGCAAGAGGTAATATGTGTATTCAGTGCAGGTTTTGAGTGTTGACAATGAACTTGGACAACGTTGACTTGGGTTTGAGATGTGATGTGTGGGTTGAACAGAGAAGGACAGAGAAGAATATTAATAGGATGTTAATGTAGACTTCTGTAGAGACCTACCTTTGGACAGTAGCCATGGGTTCTTTGAGATGTGTCTCATGATGACATTGTATTACTTTAGTCTTCAAAATACTATGATATTCTCCAACTGGAGTCTTCTCTCTGTGGTCTAATGACACTCACTTGGATGTGCAGTTTATAGAGGTTTATCTGGCACGTCTGCATATGTTCAGATAACTTTGTGAGAGAATTAGGCTAGGGAAAGTGTAATACTATATATATAGCCTGAATATATGAGGGGGATTATCCCAAAACTTGGAATCTATTTATAAAAAATTGTGTATTTATTTTTACATGTTTAAACTTCAGTCATCTTCTAAGTACTTTCCATTTGATGCAATATACCTATCATTACACTTTTTCCACTGCTTAAAACAGTTTTTGACTCATCAATTTTGATGTCATTTTTTGTTTCACCTCTTCCACATTGGCAAAATATTTCCCTCTGAGGACATTTTTCATCTGTGGAAACCAAAAAAAAGGAGACTGGGTGAGTAGGGAGGTACAACACGGAGGTCATGCTGGTTTTGGTCAAAAACTGCAGAATACTCAGCATGGTGTGGGCAGGTGCGCTATTAAATCACCCGTCATGAAATGGGCAAATAAGTTGAAAGCATCTCCAAAAAAAGTCACTGAAGCTGTATACAGCTTCTCACAACAGCTAGCTGGTACACTGATGGCGATAGGTTCCTAGAATACTTACCTAGAGGGAGAAGCCTGTACTACAGGGGGATTCGTACTCCAAAACACAATTCTGTTGTTTTTTGGGATGTCTCCCCTGATACGATAGATAACAAGTTATTCTGAACCTGAAGTTGACACCTATTATCTAACAAGTAAAATAAACAACTGTCTGTCAACTGTTTTTGCAGACAGAATAAGATCTGCACCACAAGCTGGGCTCAGTGGCTCAGCCTGTAATCCCACGCCTTGGGAGGCTGAGGTGAGTGAATTGCCTGAGCCCGCGAGTTCGAGACCCACCTGGGCAACTTGGCGAGACCTCATCTCTACAATAAATCAAAAAAATTAGCTGGGCGTGGTAGCACACACCTGTAGTTCCAGCTACTTGGAAGACTGAGGCGGAAGGATCTCCGGAGCCCAGCAGGTCGAGGCTGCGGTGGCCGGAAGTGATCACTGCACTCCAGTCTGGGCGACAGAGTGAGACTCCAACTCAAAAAAAAAAAAAAAAAAGACGTGCACCATGGATTTTCTTGCCTTTATTAACATCTATGTGCCAGTACTACTCTAAAATTATTTAACATATTGATTAATTTAATTTTTAATACATTTGTCAGTTGAGAAAACTGAGACTCAGAGACCTTAACTAACTTGCCTGGGATCACATACCAAGAAAGCAGCGCTACAATCCGAAGGTTGTACTCAGGTTTGGCCCCAGAGACCTCATGCTTAAACATTGCAATACACTGCCCTCCAACTGCGAGGCTGGAAAGGAGTCCCACAATGTGGTGGTCTTCAACTTTTAACATAATGTTGAAAGACAGTTGTGTGGAGTTGTAAAGTGTTTGATATTTCTATCCCTTTCAAATCTTGAAGTGTCAAGAAAGGTATAAAAATATCATTTCTGAATTCTGGGTACCACTTGAAGGTACAGGATCTTAAAAAAATATGACTAACATAGAAAAAATTTCATAAAGACATACACACCTTCAGATCAAACATGCTTTCTAATTTTTCAGCAATGTGCTATAAAGTCCCTAATAATTTAAGATGTATTATTAATGCAATTTTAATCAGAAATGCTTTTTTTTTCTGAGATCATTTGACTTCAGGGAATGAATGTTTGGTTACAAAAAAAAGTTTGGTTTACTCTTTATTTGAGTAAAATAAAGAGAGCCTTTGGACCTGCTACTGCCACCAGTCATAAGTTGTCAAAAAAATAATATTCTGTTGTGAATTTTTAACGTGTATAATTTTATATGTACTTTTAATATTGTTCCATTTTATTTTCGATTCAGGGGATACACATGGATGTTTGTTACATGGACATGTTGCATAGTGGTGGGGTTTGAGTCACAGATGGTTCAATCCCCAGGTAGTAAATATTGTACCCAATAGATAATTTCTGAATCCCATCCTCATCCCTTTATTGGTGTCCCTAGTGTCTATTATTTCTATCTTTGTGGTCATTTAGCTACTGTGTACAAGTGAGAACATGTGGTGTTTGGTTTTCTGTTTCTGAGTCAGTTCACTTAGGATGATAATCTGCAGCTCCATTCATGTTGCCACAAGGGCATAATTTTGTTCTTTTATATGACTGTATAGTATTTCATGGTGTGTATATATGACATTTTCTTTTTAAAAAAAATTTATTTATTTGTTGTAAAGATGTGGGGTACAATTAGGGGTTAGGTATATAAACACCGATCATGCAATTACCCTTGTTGATGAGGTATGTCCCTCCCTTTCCTAGCAGTTTCCCTCAACTGCCAGTACCACATTTTCTTTATCCAATCATTGGTGGGACCTGAGGTTGGTTCCATGATTTTGCTATTGTCAATAGTGCTGCAATTAACAAATGTGTACCAATATCTTTTTTTTACATTGATTTATTTTCCTTTGAGTAGATCCCCAGGAGCAGAATTGCTGGGTTGGATGATAATTCAATTTTTAGTTTTTTGAGGTATTACTTAATTTTTATACATTTAGCTTCAACCAATCCACTTTGTAATTGGTATTTTCTATTTGGTTTTCATAAGATTTAGAGAGTTTATAAAGTTACTTTCATTTAAAAATTATATCTAATCAAAACTCCCTGAACATATAGAAGAGCTAGATATTGCTTTGAGACTTTTCAAGTCTGAAAATTGTTTGTTTTTAATTTTCGTTCTTCATAATCCTAATTTGAGGGGTTGCCTTTATTCTCTCTCCTGCCTTCTTGCTTCACTGGCATTTTCTTTTTTCTCATTTCTTCTCTTGCTTTTTCTTTTTCTAATAATTTTAAGTAGAAATGTTTTTCCAGATGCTTCATTTATAAATGTCTTAACTTTTTCATGGCGTAAGGAAACAAAGCATTGAGGACCTAAATTTCTTAATTCTACTTCTCTCTACATGGAAAGTTCTAGTTTTTCTAAAAAAGTCACTTGCTGGTCTTCTTTCTCTAAAGAGTTGAATTTCTTCATCAAATCATCTCTTCTGCATTTGTGTATGCATCGCATTTTACTTACCTTGGCTTTCTTATCCAATCACATAATATGGCCTTTTATTTACTTAATTCTTCTTAAAGATGCAAAGACATTTTGAGAAGGGATTGTGTCCTTTTTTTAAACAAAAAAATCATTCAATTGCTGAAGCCTCTTTGCAAAATACCTTGTACCTAATCAATGCCCAAGAGGCATTTGTTGAAGTCTATGCACAAAATAAAATAAGAAATTGGTTTCATTCAGAAAATTCGACTCCAGTGCCCACAGCTCCATCGTCCAGTTTGTTGGCTTACTTGAAATCTGTGATTAATGGGTTGGATTTTGGCCCCAGAGCTCTCATACTTCAACATCTCAGTGATTTGCCATTCAACTGGGAGGCTGGAAAGTCACCAATGGGGTGGTCTTCAACTTTTTCCCATAATGTTGGAAGAACAGTTTGTGGAGCTGTAAAGTGCTTAATTTTTCTATCCCTTACAAATTGTTGGATGGGAATTTATGGGGATAATGTTGTTGGGATTGTTAGAATAATTGTTGGAATGAAATCTACAGCTGCAACTTGGGGTCCAAAGCACCACAAAGGAGAATTATTTTCTTCTTGATGAAACAGAATTCAGTCCCAAAAGACTCCCTGACATAAGGTTGGATGTCTGGCCTCATACCCCTATTGATATATTTGCTGGGGTGGACAGACTGTAGAATTGCTGAAAGAGTTCATTTAGAGAGAAAATCTGCCAAAATGGCAGTAAGGAATGACACTTAGCTGAGTGGTTTATGTTTTTATTTCAAAAAGCAGAATATTGTATATAGCACTTTCTGAGAAAATAGTTAAGATGCTGTAATTAAATGAAGTTCATGTTTTAAAACACAATAAAGATGTGCAGAATCTCTCAAATGTGAGTTTCCTCAGATTTTATTTAAACTCAGTGCAATTGAATTGTGAGTTTTAAGGAGTAATTTCTGCCTTTCACAAAATAAAAACTCTTTTACAGGGTTTTATTTATTTATTTTCTTAAAGTTTGCAACCTCAATGTATGTTACCAGGGTTTAATCTTTTAATGTAGAATACAAATTCTGTGTGGAGTAATTGTGTGTAATATGTACCATGAAAAGTTAATTTTCCTTTCTATAACCAATGAACAACAGACTAACATTGACACAAAAGGTATGGAACCATCTAAAATCATGTTTCATTCAAGGAGGATACAGTCTGAAATTCAAAACAGATTCTTTCTCTAACAATTGCAGTAAAAAATGGAAACAGAACAAAATGTGGGAACATGTACGTGATCCATTCTTCCTCACGGATTTAAATTTCTGCCTGTGGAAGACTGTCTACACTGAACATTTGAGCCTTTTGCTTTATGCTGGCTATGAAGACGTAAGCCTATTCAAAAATGAAAAAAAAACTTTAAAATGTTGCTTTACCACCTCCTACAAAATATCTCTTTCCACCACAATAAATTGACCAGTATTTCATATCAAATACACATGGTATACACATGGAAATGGAAAAAAAAAAACATTTACTTCCTTTAAAATTTCTGATTGTACATAGACACCTCCATATCTATTTCTTAGAAGTGTGGATACCTAGGATTATTCTGGAATCTCTCTCTGTTTACCAATTCAGTGTATGACAATGTTCAGCAGTGCATATCTCTTCTCTCTCTTTCCTCTGCCAAAGTCAGTGTTATTTTTCATTTAAAAGCTCCATCCACTTAAAAATTTATACCACGTTGTCTATTATATTTAAGAGGTTGTCTCAATGACTCAAACACTCACCTACATACATAAAAGAAGTTTCCATCTTGTAAAGCTAACATTCACTATTCAATATTTTAATGCACCATAGAACTTTGTTTAGATTTTCCTTAAAATATATGCTCTTCACATGGAACTGTCATTAAAAAATGGGGAGAATAACTTCTCTAATTTCAAATCCATCAAAGTAGGTTTTGAAAAACTATTTCCTAAGCCCCAGGAGTAGTGCACTTGAAGGGCAAGCATGTCAGTAGCTTTAGAAAAAGAGTTGGGAAAAGTCCAATTTGATTCATATTTGAACCTTTATTATTGGTAACAATGAATTCAACCCACTAAAAATGTAACTACTATTAACACTAATTTTAGCGAAGAAGCTACATTAAAGAGGAGTAGTAACCCATTATTTCAATTATTGAAACCTTATAGGCAGGTTGTTTAATGTGTCTTATCCTACTGTCTATCCAACAGCTTTCCCTTGCACAGATTGTTAGGAATTATTCACAAACTGTTGCCGCCTTCAAATGACATACTATAGAAGGTAGCCAAGATGTAATTGTATGTTGTAGTGAACATAAAATAATTTGTGGCTTCAAAATATGTTTTTGACACAAAGCCTGCCTGCCATTGTAGAAAATTTTGTCAATTCATGTGAAAATATTTATTACCTGTAACCATAGATACACAAAATTAGTGTGTGTGTTATGTAACATTACATCAGAAATGCATTTGCTACTGTTTTGAGATTTCTTTTTGGTCTAGATTACCCTTCTGCCAAACAACTTTTTTTTTTATATATACTAGGGCAAATGACTGCTGTACTAAATTTGCAATTGTAATCATAATTTTTCCTGGGAATGCTAAATTATGTCTTAATTTTATTCAAAAGCTTTTATTTTAAAAGCAATTAAACTTATTGTTGATTGATATTTACTATCCAATGTTCCTGGAATACTAAAAGAATACACTTTATACATAATCTTCCATTATAGCACATTTCTTGCAAGTAGCTATTTGATATAACAGCATTCAGTTGAGTTTTCAAACCAAAGGACTAAAATTATAGCAATTTCACTTGAAATGCATAAATCCATGCACAGAACTGTGTTCAGCAGAATCACTAAATGCTATTTGTTATTCAGAGATGAATGAATCAATAACAAAATAGAACTGATAAATCATTAGCACTTTAATGCAGAGTGGAGAGAAACTAATAAATCATGCATGTCAAGCATTTGTTTTCCTTATGGCATGTTTGAAAACATAAAACATGCAATGATGGGCTGCAGGTAGGTATGAATGAACAATGCCAAAACTGCTCAGAAGCATTTCACTTTCTATGTTAGGCTTAGTGAAACACTAAGAAAAAAAGGAACCATTTCATGATTCCTTTAAACAATCAGAGAATCCAATAATGAACACCTTCCACAGCAATCTAGCCCATTATATCCAAATCGACATTTGAAATGTCATAGAGATGGGAATGGAATAGGTGAGGAGGAGAAGGCTAGTTGCATGCATGATTTGCTTCAATGAGCTCAATATTATTACAGGTATCACAGGTATCAATTTATACTAGAAAAGAACTGATACAATCATGTACTTCCTTCATATGAATGTAACTGATCCATTAAAAATTACAGAATACCTATATTTACAGATGACCAAAAAAAAAAAAAAAAGGCAAGAAATCAGCTATTGATCTTTGATTGTGTTGTATGGTCTACTGTCTGTGAAAGGTGAGAACTGTAACTATAATGAATGGGTAACTCACTCTCTTACAGCAGTTTTAGTTATCACAAAATTAATCATAAGAACCATAAATTTACTTCACGATGCTTCGTTAATTGTACATTGACCCATTCATCTCAGGCATCTTTTTCTGAATCTTTGGTGGGAAACACATTAATTAGGCACATAGTTTTAAAACATCAATTTGGTTACTGGTGTGATTATGAATTCTCCCCTAGATTCTCATGCAGAAAGGAATAAGGCTTGTCATATGACTACACTTTACTGCCAAGTAACATGTTTTCACTTTTTTTCTGGAATTAAAAATAAAACTAAGCAAAATAAAAACCACTTTCTCTATTTCAGCACAAGAACACTTTATACCTGATATTTTAATTTCCACTGAGAAGAGTTAAGACGTTGAAGAAAAACTATTTATATATAGCAAGGTATCATAGACAACTATTTAATAAAATCTTTGAATTAAAAGTTTCTCCTCAAGTCATAGGTCATTGAGACACTGACACTAAAAGGGAAAAGTATAGCAATCTGCAATTATGACCATGTAGCATTACTGATTAATGCTTAGTAATGACTGGAGTCACACTGAGAATCACATTTCCCATGGTATTTCCCTTTTCATGTTGCACAGATTTTTCTCACAGGTTAGTAATGGAAATTGGGGAAGAAATGGGTGGGAGACATAAAAATCTATGGGAATGCATGCAACAAAAATATGCAATATCACTTCATGTAAACTTCTGCTTTCTTCATGCAAAGATACCTATAAAAACAGAGACAATAAATTTTCTAATAGCTGAATTTTACAGTAACTCAGTTACAAAAACTGTTAAAACAATTCCATGATTTTGCATGAGCAGAAGACTTGAAATGATTCGAAGATTTCCAGCATAAGTGTTCCATGGCCCAATTATGCTAATTAGATTTCTAAGAATGAAACAATGCAGGACTATTCCTTGCTTCGGTTTCTTGTCCTTTTGACGAGAGAGCAGAATAACCCGGTTTTTGGAGGAGGACCCATCAGCATTGGGGCTTGATTCTTGTGTGTAATTTTTATCTAGGAAAAAAAAAGAGAGAGTAAAGTCATCTCCAGATAAAATACCAATTTCTGAGAATCTCTGTTAACATTAATAATTTCATGAGTTACTGAAATACCACAAGTACAAAACGTAGCTTTGGAGTTTCTAGTATTTCAGAAATATTTTTAAGGAAGATAAGATATGCATTTAAATTATATTCCAATGCTCAAGATACTAACAAAAAATACAAACTAGCTTAAATGACATTTGAAATATCACATTACCTCTACCTCATGTGTAGTAACACCACCCAACCCCTTACTTAGGCTACATGACTATTCAGTATTATTTACTGACCATTAATTATATATTATTTATTGAAGATAGGAAAGGAGACACCATTACAGGATTCAGGGCCCAAGTTACAGCCTAACATCAAGATGTACTTGGTATCAAGGCAAGCCTTATTTATCTTACTAATCAGATTGTTTCTCTCTTTCAACATGAACTGTAAGGCTTAATTTCAAAACAATCATTAGGGATGAAAGTCAAAAGTTAACATGCGTAAAAGGTCAGAAATGATGAACTAGCTTTCTAATTTGTTAATTAATTGGTAATAGAATAGAATCAAATATTGAAAAGCCTGCTTAAAACACTTTGAGAGACTGCTCGAAAGCGACTCGTTTTGATTTCTTTGATATAAAACTACGAATCACCTTAAATGAGACAACCTTAAAGTAGATTATGTCTGCAATTTTCTTTAATTCAACTCTAAATTAGAGAAGACATTTTATGAATATATGCTATGCTCAAAGCTAATTGAAAGCAATTATCAAAGTGGCATTTTGTCTGTGACTTTAAGATACATTGTAAGATAATAAATGATTCTCATTATGTAATAAAAAGGTCACATCATGCCTTTGGGCTAGTGACGCTAAGAGTTTTTCAAAAGCTATTGGAGACATTTTCTTTAGCGAACTGCGACTAATACGAGAACCATCGCTTATTAAATATCAGTTGTCACCTGCACAGCATTCGCATCAGAAATGAGTATTTCTTTCAAAAAGAAACACCACCTCATTAAAGCTGCAAAAAATATATCTCTTAAAGTGCACACCTGACATTTTCAAGTTAAAATGAATATCCTTCACTTGTCATTCACTAATAGCAATGAGACAAAAAATATATATATATATGTCACGTGGACAGGATCATTAAAATCGGCAGTGGGGTTTTGGGAAATGGAAATTTACCTCACAGTCTAGAAAGGCAGAAGTATGTGAAAAACCTTGAAAGAATGAACAACTTTTTAAAAGTCTGCTGGAATCAGGTTATTCTGGAAGGATTCGGTGTTCTTCCCTTTACTGGAAAAATAAATTGCACCTGTAAAAGGCCACTAAACTAAGCCAGTACCAAACTCTATGGACATTTGACTTTGTTTTATTTTTTGTTATCATATGAACTGGGGAATTGATCACCAGATAGTTAAGAATGCACCTATGTATGTAGACAGAAAATGATGTCTATTAGATTTTCTCTTTTACTAATTCAGCTTTAGAGTACAGTGTACCTTAGACCATTGATTTTTAAACTCCTCTGATATTCTAGCTTTAGATAAGATCTCATACTGCACCATTCATAATTTATTTCACAAAGTTTAATTCCCCTACTATGCTTCAGATATCATTCCAGGAACATTGAATGACTAGACAACATACAATCTCTGCCCCCAAGAAATTATAGTCTAGCAGGAAAGAGAAATTGAACAAGCACATTGAATAGCTAAAATGGGAGGCTAAGCAGAAAGACATTATTTTTTTTAAAACACTGAACATGAAATAAATCATTTTACACACAAATGTCATACCTGGGGAGATATGAGTACCTGGGGACGTAGTTATCACATATTACTTACATGATAAGTTTAGATTCAAATAGAACATTAGCAGCTAAAGTAAGAAGGTAGAGATTTCTAATTCATCATTGCCGAACTGAATCCTTTAGGGGGTATATTAGCATTAGGCCATTTTAGAAAATTAGATCCTTATTACCAAATGGTTGTTAAGACTTTGGAGGAAGTATCTTTTAAGTCACTTACATAAAGTTAGCATCGGTTTATGACAAAGCATAATCAAAAATGCCACATATTTATTGTTTATAAGATGTACTTTGTACTTATTGGGGTATTTAAATTTTGCTTGATCATAACTATCCTTATATTGGAAACTGTCCTCCCTTTTAAAGAAATTGCATGTTCTTATTCCTTTAAAAAATAAAACAATATCTAATTCAGTGCTTTTATACAATGAGGCCTTTAATCCAAGTAATTGGCTAATACATAGTTCTAGTTTTCAGTAAGCAGGAAAATGGTCAGCATTATTTTTTTATTATCCATAACCTTTCTTCTTGGTTAATCATTCCTACAGTCAAAATACACAACTCTTTCTTTAATCTAATTTTATTTTTGTAGAAAAGTATGTAACCCACATCCTTTTTGTCTGTTGTTTACAGAAATGAGAAACAATTGCTTGTGTTTTCTCTTGGTAAGGGGAGATAACAAGAAGGAAACTAACATTCATGAAATGTCTGTATGTATCCAGGCTCCTTGCATATATTAACTAATTGGATAATTGCATGTTTTTGTACATCTGGGCAGAAGCAAAACTACTCCATTAAAAATGAGAATAATTCCAGGTTAGGTGTACTTTTGGTGTTATAGTCATAGAAATTCCAGATGTAGGCTATGAGAAGTGGTAGACTTAGGTATAATCTCAGGTGGAGACTGCTCATGCAGGGCAAACCTAGTTAAGGAGGTCACATAGAGATTATAATAATGACCAGATGTTTGTTATGAATACATTCAACATCCCTGTATTTTTAAATTAGTTCAACCTCTATGGAAACAGTGTGGTGATTCCTAAAATAACTAGAAATTAACCTTCCATATGACCAAGTAATCCCCCTACTGTGAATATACCTGGAGGAACTCAAATCATTCTACAAAAATACCTGCACACGCATGTTTATTGCAGCACTATTCACAATAGCAAAAGCATGCAATCAACCGTGCTGTCCATCAAAACTGGACTGGGTTTTAAAAACTGTGGTACATATACACAATAGAATGTTATGTAGTCATAAAGAAGGACAAACATATAGACTTCACAGTAACTTGGATGGATTTATAGCTCATCATACTCAGCGATCTATCACAGAAACAAAGAACGGATACATGTTCTCACTCATAAGCTGACCCTAAACATTTATTATAATACTAAAAGAGAGAAATTGGCAGTAGCGGGATATTGCCAGGGTGTGGGGGAGGCACACAATATCAGTAAGTGTACCTGATCTCAAACCAGGCGAAGTGGGGACAAAAGGTAGACCCAAACTTTACCTGTGTGATGACTACTTGTGTACCTAGCCCTGAATTGTATCCTACATCTTTAACATAAAAAATAAATAAATAAAAAGAAAAAAATATAATTATTTAAAAATCTATCCACTAGAAAAATAACAATAGGGAAATAGTTCATCTCCAAAGACTGTAGAATATGCTAAGTTTCAGAAATCTGAGAACATGAAGCCAACGTTGGGCTCTGAGTGCTTCCATCTTTAAGAGTCGGTTAGTTACCTCTCAGTTGTTCCTTGATACATCAAAGACTTACTGAGCACCAGCCATGAGCAGGGCCTTTTGCCACATGATTTTGGTTATTTAGTTTCTAAGAGGATCTGACACTATTATTGGAAAGAGAAGTGTGGGCTATCATCAACAACGGTGATGGGTCTCCTAAAACTGGAATCGCTACATGAAGGTAGAAGAGCCTTGCATAAAAGACTCAAGATAAATATTGCCAACAATAGAATGGTGTCCTCCTATCAAAACTCACCATTTCTACTTACCACCTACTTCTTTGGAAAGCAACAGCAGCAGAAAAAGCACTTCTGCTGACCATGACTCTTTCTACATCTGTCTTCCTATTTCAAATTAAGATTGACCACATCAAAAAACATAAACATGAAAGAATTTGGTTTCGGTTTCAGTTTTATAATTACTCAATACGAAATAAGGATGCTCACATAAAAACCAGTAACCAGATCAAGGATTACAAGGCATAACTTTCTTGTTTCTATAGCACTGTTAAGGTTGCAGTGTGTGTGGTAGTTCCACCTCACAATTGTTAAAGAATAAGAAATAACAAGATTTATTTGGTTTTACTGTTTGCTGAGCTTTAGTTAAGTGCCCTACACACATTATTCAGAGGCTACCTATTTCATTCACCTCTTCGAGTTGCCCTCAAAGAAAGTCCCCTCCCATCAAAAATTATTATTGAAGAGTATAAAATTGAAGTATGATTTCATAAAAGGGATAGAAGAGGGGATTTATGTTTCATGGTGCACAGTAAACAATGTCTATTCCCATTAGATATTTGTGTTCTCTCCAAAGACTTTCTTCAGCCCATCTAAAATCAGAGAGAAGAGTTGGGTCTTCCCTGATCAGTTTTCCAGATGCTGTTTGTCCCAGCTCCCTGCTAATTTCTTTCTTGGTTCCCTGTTTTCCAGCATCAAGTATTTCCAAAACCCTTTATTATGAAAAAAGCATTTCTTAACTTTATGTTATCTGAACACCCACTCAACACCCTTTTCCTGCAGGCTCACGAAAGCATTCTGATAAAATTAGACAGAGTTAGATCTATTCTCTTTCAGGGATTCCTTATAATTGCAAACACTTTTCTTATAATTTTATTTTTACAATATCTAATTTTACCAACTAACAACCCTGGGAGGTAGGTGTCAACATCCTTATTTTACATTAGAAGACAAAGAGATGCAGACAGGTTCTGAAAGCTGCATCACACACTCAAGGTAGCAAATGCAAAAGCTGGCATTGACAACTGACTTTCCACCCTCCCAAGCTCTCCCAGTTGATTTCCACATCTGCACTTTTGTCTACTGATTGCACTGGATAACATCTCCTCTCATTTTGCCAATCAAATTTCTACCCCTGTCCTTCTCAGCTTAAATCATACATTATTTT